TGAGCGGAGAAAAGAAAGATATTTAGGATCAAAAATGATGTTATTTAAAGGAAAACCTGCCTTTCATGAAGCATATTCAGTACTTAAGTAAAGGTAGAAGTACACAGATCTTGTACTTGAGTAAAAGTAGAAGTACTCAGATCTTGTACTTGAGTAAAAGTAGAAGTACTCAGATCTTGTACTTGAGTAAAAGTAGAAGTACTCAGATCTTGTACTTGAGTAAAAGTAGAAGTACTCAGATCTTGTAGTAAAAGTAGAAGTAGTCAGATCTTGTACTTGAGTAAAAGTAGAAGTACACAGATGTTGTACTTGAGTAAAAGTAGAAGTACTCAGATGTTGTACTTGAGTAAAAGTAGAAGTACTCAGATGTTGTACTTGAGTAAAGGTAGAAGTACTCAGATGTTGTACTTGAGTAAAAGTAGAAGTACTCAGATCTTGTACTTGAGTAAAAGTAGAAGTACTCAGGTCTTGTACTTGAGTAAAAGTAGAAGTACTCAGATATTGTGCTTGAGTAAAAGTACAAGTACTCAGATCTTGTGCTTGAGTAAAAGTAGAAGTACTCAGATCTTGTACTTGAGTAAAAGTAGAAGTACTCAGATGTTGTACTTGAGTAAAAGTAGAAGTACTCAGATCTTATACTTAAGTAAAGGTAGAAGTACTCAGATTTTGTACTTGAGTAAAAGTAGAAGTACACAGATCTTGTACTTGAGTAAAAGCAGAAGTACTCAGATGTTGTACTTGAGTAAAAGTAGAAGTACTCAGATCTTGTACTTGAGTAAATGTAGAAGTACTCAGATGTTGTACTTGAGTAAAAGTAGAAGTACTCAGATCTTGTACTTGAGTAAAAGTAGAAGTACTCAGATCTTGTACTTGAGTAAAAGTAGAAGTACTCAAGTCTTGTACCAGAGTGTAGGAATACTCTGTTACAGTAAAAGTACTGCATTCAAAATGTTCCTCATGTAAAGTAGAAAAGTATTCTCATCAAAATATAGTTAAAGTAGCGACAGTGAAAGTAGTCATTGTGCAGATTGGTCCATTTCAGAATAATATATATGCATACATGCCAACCTTTCCAAATCCAAAAGAGGTAGGTTTGCGCGCGGCAAATGTGCACGCCCAAATTAGGTAATCAGAAGAAATGGACAGTAATTACATGTATAAACCATGTATTTAACATATATTGCATCATTTTATGCATTTTTCAGAAAAAGTGGTAGTTTGGTAAACAGTGACATCAACGACATGTTTGGTCTGTAAAATGCCCGAAAAGTAAAAGAATGGGAGATAAATATCCCTCTCCACATTTTATTATATTTTTAATGTGTTTCTGGTCCTCTTTCAGTTGCATTGTTGGAGAAGCCTGTGACATAAGATTTTCAACGACATAATTACTCTGTAGCTATGTTAGTTTGACAATAATGAACCTTGAACCTTGACAGTGTAGATCAGGGGTGCCCAACCTTTTTTGAACCGAGAGCTACTTTTAAAGTTGCCAGTCTGCCGAGATCTACCAGTCCAAATAGAGAGGCGCAGCCATTACTGACAGCCTACTACCAGGTAAATACACACTTCTACTTGTATAAAACTGACCTTTGTACGATTAATACTTCATAAAATACTGCAGATCCTTTATCTTACCTCTTTCTAATCTCCACACACACAAGTATTTAACTGAAGTTACACAACAGTGTTGTTGATACAGAGTTGGAGTTTATTCACACGTCACAAACTACAGTGGGTAATGTTTTCAAGAAACATTGAACAGTGCTGCCACATATGACACAGGAAAAAAAGAAAAGACTGAACGCTTTCTTTGCCATTATATAAAAATAGTGTTGCTACAAAAGTATAAATTAGTTTTACTAATAAGACAACTCAGATCTGAAGCTACACAGGAATCTGCTGCCAGAGTGCAATAAAAAAGACAAAATTAATAGAATCAAACCCTTTTCTTTTTGTTGCATTTTAGTAGAGTATAAAAAGAAATGCCTTTTAAAATAGGATGCAAGCAACACTAGTTTCTTAACCTGAATTGATAATAGACTATAATCAATTTAAACAGAACAGATCTTAAAGTTTGCATTCTTATACCATGTTGTACAATAATTATAATTAATAAGTTCAAACAAACTAAAACTTACAGCTGATTAATAACGGTATCTAACTTGAGTTTTTATTATATCAAAAACCTGTTGAAATGCTACTGTTATTTTTACTGTCCCCAAAAAAGCGCGTCGGCAGCCTCCAGGAATGCTTCTTTCACAACTTCGCCGTCTTTGAAAGACTTCATGTGTTTCGCAAGAACGTGACTGACACGATAAGATGCTATGGTAGCAGCCTTGCTCTTGTTGTTGGGCCTGGTGAAAATGGACTGCTGTGCATTTAGCTGTCCTTTCAGGTCCCTCACCTTTTGGGAGCGTAGGGCAGAATTAGGAGGGAACTCCGTCTCGTAGCGTTTGTGCACTGTTTTGAAATGCCGCTCCTAAATTACCCTTCTTCGATAAAGCCACGCTCGCATTGCAGATGAGAGACAGATGGACTTTGAATTGGAATAGATACAAAAATAATCATCCTCCCCACTCGGAGTGAAAATTATATATTTTGGGCTCTTTTGCTTCTGCCATAATTGTGGTCTTGTGTGTGCGGACTGCACAGCAAACTAGTGCCCACTGCCTACCAGCCACGCCCCGATAAATCACAAAGCTTTGATGCGTTCAAGTGCATTATTCTGGCACAGGAAGATTATGTTATAGGACATTAACGATAAAACAGAATATTGTCGTTCTATTTTTAGACACATCTCGCGATCGACTGAAACACAGAGGACTGTTTGTATGATGGGATCACAGACACGCTGCAAACGGTGTCCGCCAAAAGTCGAGTCCAGTGTCTATGTAGTGTCATTTTTATTTGTTATAGTTTGGGAAGATTGAAAATCGGTAGGGAAAGTCAGCTAAATCGGTAGGCGGTAGAAACATGTCAAAAGCGGTAGACTACCGCCCAAATCGGTAGGGTTGGCAGGTATGTATTATATGATATGTTTTATAATGATTGATCATGAAAGTGTTCTCGAAGCTGGTAAAGGAGCAGCTAGTTTGAAGTACTTTGTATTATTAGAAGTATTCGATGTTCTCGCGCCCAGGAGAGGAGCTTAGAATGAAGAGACTAATGGAGTCTCCGAAAAGGTTCAAATTGGTTGAGTTTAATTAAATGGCACGATGATACAACAAGCAGAGGGTAGGGAAAAGACAAAGCCGGTGATGTCTCTCGTGGGGCTGCAGCGAAGAAGGAGTGCCCTCCAGAGCTCCCTCACCTCCCTATATCTCAGTCGTGACCCCTCCTCCTCAATGGTGGGCGGTGACGAAGGGAGGGAACTTCCCTCCTCTTTCTCATTGTCTTAGTTTCTCTGATTAGGTCATCTCTCTGAGAGTGCCTACTTCCTTAAGTCTTTTATCCTCCTTATCTCTTTCATGACTTTCTATTTAATACCTTATAAACAGCTGTAATAGTTAATTTAAAACATTGTTAGCGACATGCTACATACTGACCGGATATGAAGGAATAAAAGCTTGGCATTGAGATTGTATGAGAACTTCCGGGTTTTTTCACAATAAAACAGCTTTTAAACTGACGATATATTTTAGACTAATTATTATATTAAACATTGATTTTAATTTCTAACAATCCCTCCTTTCACACCTTTTAAGGTGTGAACACAATACTGAAATTAATGAGTTCTTCATCTGTAAACATTGATTTTAAATTTCTAACAATCCCTCCTTTCACACCTTTTAAGGTGTGAACACAATACTGAAATTAATGAGTTCTTCATCTGTAAACATTGATTTTAAATTTCTAACAGTATACTGCAGGTTGTGAATTTACTTTAAAGTCTGATTTAAGACTTGATTATATATTAACGCGTTCTCCTAATGTTCTACCCGGAGTGAACGCCTCATAAAGCTTCACACGCTGAGCTGCTGCAGGTGTTTGTCCTTCAGTTCCTCCCACACAGAGAGCAGGACGCTAACATGCTAACTGTGCATGTGTCCTCCAATCAGGAATGACTTTTATAAAGTGCTTTAACCTTAATGCAATGTACAGTCATAGTTTTATAACAATATAATAATATATATATGCAGTTATGCAGGGTTTGTGGAGCAGTTTGGTTGCACACTACTTACAGTATATACATGAATACAACTGTATGTGTGTGAATGAATGCAATGAAAAATGAAAGAAAAAAATATTATTATTATTTTATTTTATTTTAGTTCATTTATGCATTATTATTATTTTAGAGTTTATTTAATTTATTTTGTATTATTCTTTCATTATTTTAAATGTTTCTTTTTTAACTGATCCATTATTGAAACGTTGAATAATGCCTATTTAATTTGGATTAAAATATGAGTAGCACAACCCTAATTTTAAGTGTTTTTTAAATGTATTTTCTGACCTGTTAGTCCCAGGATGCGTCTGCTGTTTTCTCTGAGTCTCCTATTGGCTCTGCTGCATGTGACCTCCTGTCTGCTGATTGGAGCGTTCAACATCAAACAGTTTGGAGACAAGAAGTCGTCCAACTCGACTCTGATGGAACTCATCAGCACGGTCAGGAACTGAAATCTGCATCCAATATTTCTGAATATGTCAATAATGTGACTTTGTATTTCAAATTGCTGACTTATTATCTTAACATGATGACTTAAAGGTCCCCTATTATACTGTCTTTCATCAATATATTACAGGTCTCAGATATATACAGAGCATGTCTCTGATTGGCTGAAACACCAAACAGATCATTGCAGCATTACCCATAATCCCCTCTGTTTCAGCCCTGTTTCCAAAGTGCTGATTCTCTGTCTGTTACTTTAGGTGAAAATAAGGAGCCCCTCCCCACGCCCCTCTGAGAGAGATTTGGTTAAAAATAACTCAATGGTGCTCTAGGAGGAGATTCAGGTGATAAGGTGGGGGGGGGGGGGGGGTTACCTTGGTTGCTGATTGGCTAATGGTTACACAAGCCAATACATCGTTATGACATCATCAAGTGGCCAAAATCTGTTCAGCTCATTTTCAGACAGGTTTTTATATAAACGGATCAGGACAAAAAGAGAGAGAATCTTTGTTCCTGAAACTTTCAGAGTCTCTTTCCACAGAGGGGACACATGTTGATGTAGAAGAGACATGAAGAAGAGGGGACACATGTTGATGTAGAAGAGACATGAAGAAGAGGGGACACATGTTGATGTAGAAGATACATGAAGAAGAGGGGACACATGTTGATGTAGAAGAGACATGGAGAAGAGGGGACACATGGTGATGAAGAAGAGACATGAAGAAGAGGGGACACATGGTGATGAAGAAGAGACATGAAGAAGAGGGGACACATGGTGATGAAGAAGAGACATGAAGAAGAGGGGACACATGTTGATGTAGAAGAGACATGAAGAATAGGGGACACATGTTGATGTAGAAGAGACATGAACAAGTGCAGAATAGGTGACCTTGAATATAAAATTACTGACATAGTAACTACATTTTCTCAGATTGTCCATCGCTATGACATCGTTCTGATCCAGGAGGTCAGAGACAGCGATCTGTCAGCAACCAAAAGACTCATGGACCGTGTCAACAAGTAAGAATTAAGAAAAGTGGCGGATCAAATTAGCAATATAGCCTATAGTGCGATATCCAAATCACAGTAAATGCAATATATATTTGGTAAATCTGTGTGTGTGTGTGTGTGTGTTTTCCCAGAGCTTCTCTTCAGTACAAGTACATCGTCAGTGAGCCTTTGGGTCGCAGCACCTATAAGGAGCAATACCTCTTCCTCTACAGGTGAGACACAAAAAACTACTAAATATTTTTATTTTTAAAGTTTCATTTACTTGAGATTTGCACAGAGTTCATATGAGAAACACCCATTGTTTCAAAACGTCTTGCCCCATGTTTCCTCTCCAGGGAGCAGACGGTGTCCGTGGTTAAAAACTTCACCTACGATGACAAGATGGACGCCTTCAGCAGAGAGCCCTTCGTGGTCATGTTCACCTCCAAACAGACGGGTAATAAAGAGAGAGAAACTGTTCTTTTAATCTCCATGTCAAACAATGTTTATGATTCTTACACGTTGAGTTCAGCAGGATAATCTCCACATATTAACACCACTTTATGATTTCTGAAGTAAAAAGCTAATGTTGGGCTATAAAGGAACTACAGCACGGTCACATGACTTCACGTCACCACCGCTAAGCTAAAGGTGGCTAATGTTGGGCTATAAAGGAACTACAGCACGGTCACATGACTTCACGTCACCACCGCTAAGCTAAAGGTGGCTAATGTTGGGCTATAAAGGAACTAGAGCACGGTCACATGACTTCACGTCACCACCGCTAAGCTTAAGGTGGCTAATGTTGGGCTATGAAGGAACTACAGCACGGTCACATGACTTCACGTCACCACCGCTAAGCTAAAGGTGGCTAATGTTGGGCTATAAAGTAACTACAGCACGGTCACATGACTTCACGTCACCACCGTTAAGCTAAAGGTGGCTAATGTTGGGCTATAAAGGAACTACAACACGGTCACATGACTTCACGTAACCACCGCTAAGCTAAAGGTGGCTAATGTTGGCCGTGATGACGTTTACTCGTCTAATTTGGACACTTGTTAGCAACCTCTGTTTTTAAATTCACCAGAGGGGTATTTTATGTCGTAGAACAAAATGTTAAAACCTCTCCAGCTTGTATTAACCACAGACCTTATTTCAGACTAAAAACCAAAAACACATTCAGAAAACCCTTGACCTCCAGACCAGGGGACAGGAAGTGCTAATATCTGGGTTTCAGGACTCTATTTGCTTCACTCTTTCTGCCATTTGTATGTCCGACAAATATGGTTGTCAGCTCTGTCTTGCTAAATCTAAAAGGCTTACTTCTACAGAATGTCTGACATATCCAAAGCCTTTAAACTGGTCTCTTGTTTCTTTTCTCTCCTGCTCTGCAGCTGTGAAGGACTTTGTTCTGATTCCTCAGCACACGTCTCCGGACTCGGCTGTAAAGGAAGTGAATTCCCTCTTCGATGTGGTGACTGATGTCCGCGCTCGCTGGAACACCAATGTAAAACCTCTAAAAAATATATTTCAGAAACTGTGTAATTAAGATGTTACCAGATAATACATTTGAGCCATTTCCCCTTTTCCCTGCAGAACATCCTTCTGATGGGCGACTTCAACGCCGGCTGCTCTTATGTTTCCGGTGCCGACTGGCAGCAGATCCGCCTCTTCACTGATAAGAGTTTCCATTGGCTGATCAAAGACGATGTTGACACTACGGTCTCAGAGAACACACACTGCCCTTACGACAGGTGGACACACACAGATAACTGCTTTGACATTTACATGCACTTACAGCAGAGATGTCAAAAGTTCACACATCCTTTACTCAAGTAGAAGTAGTATTTAAAAATACTCTGGTAAAAGTAGAAGTACTGACTAAACTTCTTTACAGTAAAGAGGGCTTTGAAATGTACTTCAGTAAAAAGTACCCATAACTAGCAGCTGTTTTAAAGAGTACCTGACCTCCCTTTATATTAATAGAACAATAATGTCATTGTTAGCTAATGAATGTTTCCATGCTGAACAACGGCAACATGACAACGTTTTCATTGGTCCCTCTTCTTTAGAGAAGACCAGGAAATGATGGATACACGGATCGTGTTCAAATCAATAGGCACGCAATGACTCTAAATAATAATGATCACGCCACCAAACACACATTCAAACTAAAGGAACCAGCCTGTTTGGAAAATGTGAGAAGTAGAAAGTACAGGTATTTGTGTTCAACATGTAAGAAGTAGAAAGTACAGGTATTTGTGTTCAAAATGTAAGAAGTAGAAAGTACAGGTATTTGGGTTCAAAATGTAAGAAGTAGAAAGTACAGGTATTTGTGTTCAAAATGTAAGAAGTCAAAGTAAAAAGTCATCAGAAAAATAAGGAGTGGAGTAAAGTACTGATACCTGAAAAATGTACTTAAGTACAGTAACATAGTATTTGTACTCCACTACTTCCCACTTCTGACACACACAAAGCACCCATGGAAGTGAGCCAGCAAATGATTGTAGTGGACAAACAGTGGTACTACACTTCAGTGTACATTTTGTGACGTAATAAGGCCCAAACATGCTTTTTCCCATTGACTTACATCGGGTTGGAACCATCTGTAAATCAGCAGATATTTAGGGCTTTTATTTTGAAAAACAAGCCTCATCCTGAACAATCTGTGAGAATACTGTTTCTTTCTGGGGCTTTTATTTTGAAAAACAAGCCTCCTCCTGAACAATCTGTAACAATACAGTTTCTTTCTCGGGGTTTTATTTTGAAAAAACAAGCTTCCTCTTGGTCAATCTGTAACAATACAGTTTTCCTTCTGGGGCTTTTATTTTGAAAAACATGCCTCCTCCTGTACAACCTGTTACAATACAGTTTCTTTCTGGGGCTTTTATTTTGAAAAACAAACCCCATTCAGTACAATCTGTAACAATACAGTTCCTTTCTGGGGCTTTTATTTTGAAAAACAAGCATCCTCCTGGACCTGGACGATCTGTAACATACAGTTTCTTTCTGGGGCTTTTATTTTGAAAATCAAGCCTCCTGCTGTCACAATACAGTCTCTTTCTGGGGCTTTTATTTTGAAAATCAAGCCTCACCTAGAACTCCCAGTACAATCACTGAAAAAGCCCTAATTTAAATCATTAGGTCGTAAAAACCAACCCTCTTGATTCCTCTTTTCTCCCTGTTTCTGCAGGATCGTGGTCACAGCTGACATGAACAAAGGAGTGGTTTCCAGCAGCGCTAAGCTCTACAACTACATGCTGGACCTGAAACTCAGCCACAGTCTGGTAAAAAACGACTTTAATTCTCCTCTATAGTTAAACTCATTGCTGCTGCAAGGTACACAATCGTCTATTTAGAAGTGTAAAGATGAATGAAGAGCAACTTTGCACGTGCTGAAGATATTGATTAGACTTCCAGTAGCTGCATCATCTGAACAAGGAGGTGTCAAACGCTTTCTTTTTTTAATTAACAGTTCAAGATGTTGAGAAATACACCTATTGTGAAAACACACCTGACAGTGCTACCATGCATCCATAGATGCTAGGTTTATTTACTGTAATTCTGCAACACATAAACAGTGGAAATGTAATCAATTTACAAAGAAAAACAGGAGAAAATGAATTTAATTTCGTTTGATTCTACCGCAAAGCTCAGCCAATCAAAAAGAGGGAGATCTAGTTTAATATTTGGCGCCTAAATGCAACTAATACCTGCAGCCAATCAGAGTCCTGTGACATGTTGACATAACATATCACTGGCAGTCATACCGCAAGCAGCCTGTTAGCTTAGCTTAGCATTACTCTGTCCAGCGTTAACTTAACTTCTAGTTTGTTTAGAAAGGACATGATTGGTCGCAGAGAAGAAACTGTCCTACAGCCTAAGGAAGCTTTTTTGTTTTTATAGTCTTCAATAAACAGCTGTTATATGTTCGGTGAGACTAAAAACACGTATTGAAGTTTTGTTCTGTGTGTTCTCTCAGGCGTCGGGTGTGAGTGATCATTACCCTGTGGAGGTGCAGCTGTCCTGAGACCCAAGAACCGCTCCAAATACCTCCAGGATGAATTTATATTAGGATTACTCTAATTTCGGCAACCATGCATCTTTGAATTTACCAAAAATAAACAAATTTGCTGATTATTTCAATGAAAACGTGTCTTCTTGGAGCTGGAAAAAGTCAGAAAAAGTCTCTTATTGTCTTGTGTAGAAGGCCTTTAAAAAGGTATATAGACGCTTCTATTGGCTAGCGCTCAAATACATTGTAGGCTAAGGGGCGGGACATCTCTAAGCGGTTGACCAATCACAACAGAGCCGGCCAGCTAACCAATCAGAGCAGACTGGGCTCTGGGCAACATTACGTACTGATATACACCTGAACATCAGCAGGAGAGGACTCTTTAAAGTAGAGACACTACATACTGATATACACCTGAACATCAGCAGGAGAGGACTCTTTAAAGTAGAGACACTACATACTGATATACACCTGAACATCAGCAGGAGAGGACTCTTTAAAGTAGAGACACTACATACTGATATACACCTGAACATCAGCAGGAGAGGACTCTTTAAAGTAGAGACACTACATATGATATACACCTGAACATCAGCAGGAGAGGACTCTTTAAAGTAGAGACACTACATACTGATATACACCTGAACATCAGTAGGAGAGGACTCTTTAAAGTAGAGACACTACATACTGATATACACCTGAACATCAGCAGGAGAGGACTCTTTAAAGTAGAGACACTACATACTGATATACACCTGAATATCAGCAGGAGAGGACTCTTTAAAGTAGAGACACTACATATGATATACACCTGAACATCAGCAGGAGAGGACTCTTTAAAGTAGAGACACTACATACTGATATACACCTGAACATCAGTAGGAGAGGACTCTTTAAAGTAGAGACACTAGATACTGATATACACCTGAACATCAGCAGGAGAGGACTCTTTAAAGTAGAGACACTAGATACTGATATACACCTGAACATCAGCAGGAGAGGACTCTTTAAAGAAGACACTACATATGATATACACCTGAACATCAGCAGGAGAGGACTCTTTAAAGTGTTTTTTCGAGAAAGTAGTGCCAAATTAAAGAAGTAACAATTTTGATTTTGACAATCCATTATTTAATCACACCAAACAGTTCTCTAACCACATGAAATCAGGCTAAAGCACATGTTTTGTACATACATCTCACAGAAGTCCCAGGGTTAATTCCTCACTATTTGTTATGGTTCTTAAAAAGGTAGAGACTAGGCACTTGGTGGAGAACTAGAAAATCATTCACAGTTTGTTTTACTAATGTTGAGTCTATTTCCAAAACATAGCTAACTGTGGGCTGAGGTGGAGTTGCAAGTGTTTTTCATACCGGCTGGATCAAAGATAGGGGTAACTTCAACCCAAATACTTTGACATTTGGAAAGAGAATGTATTTGTCAGTGAATCATTAGCAGTGGTGGAAGAAGTAACCCATTACTGAAGTGAGAGGTCTAAAACAATACTGTACAAGTCATGCATTGTTAGTGTAAATGGCCAAATGTACCAAAACACCCCTATTCCAAATCAAATAGAAAATGACTTAATGTTTATAGATGCTAATTATGTATCCCTTAATTGTCTAATTGATTGATTGACGAAGTCGTTCTTGTAAAATTGTTTGCTAGTTGAATTAATACCATATCTTATAAACCCTTTTTTTTAGGCAAATCTTCGTAAAGCAACTGTAAAATGAACGAATGTACAGTAATAAGTACAGGAGAGACAAGTACCTACATTTTGCACATTCAGTACAATACTTGAGTAAATGTTCTTCTTTACACAATCATTAGGAGTACGTCCATTGGTCGAACCGGTATGAAGGATCTTATCTTGACACCAATAAAAATATGACAGTGAGACCAGATGTGTTTTTATACACAACGTCACCCTAAAGAAAGTATACACGTTATTATTTCCCCTTCTCCTCTAGGCTCTTCTCTTTTTCAGCATCTCCATGTACCCGCCGAGAGACTTCTGGATGGAGTCCTTGGTGATGAAGTTGACAAAGTATTGGATGTCGGACTCTCTGTTGGACGTGAGCTTGTCGATGGTTTTCTTCCTCATCATGGATTTGGTGATCTGCCTGGCATGGTCTGTGAAATGTGGAAATGAAGAGTTAGATCATCCTCAGATCAAGACATAAGGACTAGTGTCTTGGTAGGGAATTACTACCTAATGCTAATATTGCTAGAACTGAGTAGATGTTGCTAGCAGTAGCTATTTTGTAAATACGTGAGGCTTTTATTTTGAAAAACATGCCTCTTTCTTAGCTGCCTGTAAGGATCAGGTAACTCTTTAGGGCTTTTACTTTGAAAACCATGTCTCATCCTTAGCTTCCTGTAATTGTGTCGTTACTTCCTGTGTCTTTTATTTTGAAAACATGCCTCTTACCCAAACTATGTAATAGATATATAGTAACTCTAAAGGACATTTATTTTGAAAAAAAGGCTCATTCCGAGAATCTCTTTAGGATACAGTTACTCTATGGGGCTTTTATTCTCAAAATTAAGCCTCTTCCTTAGCTTCCTGTTACATTTCAGGTAATGTATGGTGCATTTATTTTGAAATACAAGCCTAATTCTGAGCTACCTCTTCCAATACAGTAACTCTGTGGAGCTTTTATTTTGAAATCATGCATCCTCTAGCTATGAGGAGAAAATGTATTTATCCAAGGAGCATGTTGAATAAAATATGGTAATATAAAAAAGGTTAAGAGCATAAAAGGTTAGAATAAAAAATAAATAAAATAAAGGACAGTCAGTAAAATGCGGTGCGGGACAGGAGGTTTTGAGGCTTTTCTAAAATAAAGTGAGAGTGATGCAGAGGTCCCTTTGTTCTCTGGAAGCTGATTTAAATATCCCAACACACCTGGAATAGCCAGCCACCTGCTGATGGTCTGCGTTGCCGCGGCGATGACCTGGTCTTCAGGCTCCAGCTGGTCCACCAGTCCGATCTTCAGAGCATCAGCTGGTTTGTAGAGGAGTCCCAGCTGAAGAGCCATCTCCGTGGTCCGCTGGCCCACCGTGTTCTTCATGGTGTCCATAAACCTGCACACAGTCATCTTCATCATCATCTTCATCATCAGACAGTGTTTCTTAAAGTGGGGGCGCAGAGGCATGACAGGGGGGCGCGAGAGACCAGGAGAAAAAATGTGTATGACGTCGGCATGACCGGCGGAAGTTACACTTAGAAACCGTAGAAACCTATGAGGGCGCTGTAGGGCACAGGTGTGTAATGTACATGTTGAGGATGGAAGGTCAATAGGCGGCGCCAGGGCAGTGCCAGGGGGTGCTGCAGCTCCCCCTAGGATAGCCATAGCATCCCCTAAGCACCCCCAAGAAATGTATGTGTTTTTATTTTTTATGTGTGAAATTCATAATTTGCTAAAATGATTGATTAGAAAATAATATGCTACAGTACAGAACAAGTACTTCTGGGTCTCTGTGTTTCATTCAAGCTCGGCTCTGTGTGTGTGTGGAAGCGAGACATGTTGTTTGCGTGTGCGAGCGTGCAAGCGAGAGAGAGAGAGAGAGAGAGAGAGAGAGAGAGAGAGAGAGAGAGAGAGAGAGAGAGAGAGAGACAGACAGACAGACAGAACCGGAGATTGTTGTTGTTAACATCTGGTACTCAGTTATCTCAGTGGGTCTAAAAAAAAAATCTTCCCGCACTTTACCCCTGCTTACACCTATATGCCGTGAGCTGATTATCGAGCCTTCATTGTAACAGTCGCGGGTACACTGTGTATATGCGTGGGGATTGTTGCAGTAGAAAGTTCCACTGTAGAACATTCCACTGTAGCGCCCGGTACATTAATGGGAAACCCTAAATGTTTGAGCACCCTCTATGAAACGTCAAGCTACCCCACAGCACCCCCAAAATAAATCTCTGGTGCCGCCACTGAGCCTGCAACCCCGTTCTGAAGAAATGTGCAGTGCAGAACAGGCTCATTGCAGCCACTAATGCTGTGATAGGACACACTTACCAAATATCAGTATTTTCTTTCTTTTCATTTTTTTGCAGATTGCAAAGTGGCAAAGTATTATAACTTATCGTTCTAGCAAAGGGATTGCACAATTTCATTTTTTTGAGCACACAGAATTATGGAGCATTGTTTTATTATCACTGTTCTTTCTTTTTTTAAAGGAATGCTCACGTTCATATTGATGTATTTTAATAAATATGAATAAATAATAAATGTATTTTATTATAGATATTAAAATAGCTCTATCTGTGAACATTTTGGTTCAAGGTTTGTATTGGTCATGTGCACATAGCTACAGTGCAGTTATGACGATGAACATCTGAGGTCACAGGCTCCACACAGATAAACAGAAAAATAGTAAAAAAAAAAGTGAAATAGTGAAATTCTGATATTCCAACAGTTCCTATTCCTCCTCACCAGAAAGGAGCCACGATGCCCAGCTGCGTCTCGTTGAGGCCGATGTTGTAGCGAGGGTTATCCGCCATTATCCTGTAGTCACACGTCATGGCCATCAGACAGCCTCCTGCCGGACTGGAGCCCTGAGAGACACATGTTCCATTATTAAACTGATGATGATGTCAAGGCTCCTACTGTGGAAGGAGAGCGTGGAGGAAATTCATATAATGGAAGAAATGACAAATCGACTGAGACTGCATGAAACACAATATGAAGAGAAATGGGAGAAATGGTCAACGTTTAAGATTCAAACCAGCGACAAGGAATACTGACTGACTGAGAGGAACTGTTCTCACAAATGACAATGTGACTCTAAACTGCATTTTATTGATATTATCTCTGTATTTGTATCTATAGTTGTATTGCTCGTGTCCTCACTAACACTAACAGAGTGGATCACATCAGTCCAGCACTGACGTCTTTACACTGGCTTCCAGTCGGCCAAAGAATTGATTTAAAGTACTATTGCTGGTTTTTAAAGCACTGAATGGGTTAGGACCAAATTATTTTAACGATCTCCTGCAGAAGTATGAACCATCCAGGAGTCTCAGGTCTTCAGGGTTAGGGTCTGCTCTCTGCTACAAGAGTCAGAACTAAACATGGAGAAGCAGCTTTCAGTTGTTATGCCCCGACCATCTGGAACAAGCTGCCTGAAGCCTGCAGGTCCGCTGCAACTGTTGATACTTTTAAATCAAGATTGAAAACGTATCTTTTTGACGCAGCATTTGGATGAGTTGTTCACATTCACACTGCAGTTTGGCTTTTATCCATGTATTTTATACCTGTTGTGTTTATTTCATTATCTTTGCTTTTTAAAATGCCTGTCTTTAAATGCCTTTTTATAATGTGCTTCCACTATATTTGTTCTTAAATGTATTTTATTTTATTTTGTAAAGCACTGTGGGTTGCCGTGTGCTGAAAGGTGCTGTGTAAATGAACTTGCCTTGCCTTGCCTATTGCATTGTTTATTTTGTTTGGGTTGTCATGTACGTGCACAGCTGTTGTTGTCATTTTTGTAGATGCTAATGGTGGTGGGTTTTTCTTCAGCGGTGGGTTTTGTACCCACATTGATAGCAGCGACAGTGACCATGTTGGAGCCGTAGAGCTTCAGCCACATCTCCTGAACGGATCTCCAGAACGCTCCACAATGTTCCGGACTCTTCCCGTACATCTCCGTGATGTCCAGCCCGGCGGAGAACACCTTCGGCTGAGCCTGAAGTCACACACTCAGGGTCAATTATCATTGTAAACTGTATGAGGGCTTTTATTTTGAAAAACACGTCTCTTACTGAGCTTCTTGTAAGAATACAGTTACTCTATGGGGCTTTTATTATGAAAAACATGCCTCTTAGTGAGCTTCCAGTAAGGATATAGTAAGTCTATGGGGCTTTTATTTTGAAAAACATGCATCTTCCGTAGATTCCTGCTAGGATACAGCTACTCTATGGGGATTTTATTTTGAAAAACATGCATCTTCTTGAGCTTGCTGAAAGGATAAAGCTTCTCTATGGGGGCTTTATTTTGAAAAACATGCCTCTTGCATTGATTCCTGCCAGGTTACAACTACTCTATGGAGCTTTTATTTAGAAAACATGTCTCTTACTGAGCTTCTTGTAAGGATACAGTTACTCTAAGGGGCTTTTATTTTGAATAAACATGCCTGATCCTGATTCCTGTAAGGATAAAGCTTCTCTATGGGGCTTTTATTTTGAAAAATGTGCCTCTTCCGTATATTCCTGCTCGGATACAGCTACTCCATGGGGCTTTTATTTTGAAAAACATGTCTCTTACTCAGCTTCTTGTAGGTATACGGTTACTCTTCTAATGGGGCTCTTATTTTGAAAAGAATAAGCCTCATCCTGACTCCTGCTAGGATACAGCTACTCTATGGGGCTTTTATTTTGAAAAAAACAAGCGTGTAAGTATCATCAATGTTTGTTTGACACAGAGATTATTTTCTGCAATAATCCAAAGTCTATAGACAGTTTGCTTCCCACTGTACCGAGGTGATGATGAGGCCTCGGCAGCTCTTATCCATCTCCAGCTTCTCCACACTGATGCACAGCTCGGTGAGGAAGTCTAAACTGAGGCTGTTGACCGGAGGACTCTGCATGTGCATCACAGCCACACCTGCGCACACACACACACACACACACACACACACACACACACACACACACACACACACACACACACACACACACACACACACACACACACACACACACACACACACACACACACACACACACACACACACACACACACACACACACACACACACACACACACACACACACACACACACACACACACACACACACACACACACACACACACACACACACACACACACACACACACACACACAGACACACACACACACACACACACACAGGAGGAAATAAAATAAAATACAGGGAATATGTATGGGCAGATTAGGATCTTCAAAGACACATGAAACACATCCCTCAAAAGATGCCCTTTTTTATTTGACCCCGACACACACACACACGATATATTTAAATGTTTACCCGTGCTCTGGTCGAACTCCACTCTGATCTTCGGAGGCGTGGAGTAGTTTCTCTGCTGAGGGACGAGGAGAGGAGACACACACATTCTGATATCACTGCTGCAGGAGGACCGCTGGGAGAGGAGAGCTACACACACACACACACACACACACACGCACACGCACACGCACACGCACACGCACACACACACAGTAAATAATAGTCATTTTAGTCATGTTTTTCCTCAAAAAAATGTAATACAAAAAAATAAATGACATATTTCAAATATAATACTGAATAATAATATTTTTGAATCCTGATGTTTTTCTAACTTTTCTTTCAAGGAAATTCAAGTTCAAGGGCAGAAATAAAAGAGAAACACAGGATAGGACAGGTAAAAGTTCACAGAGATACAATAACAAGTATATATATATAAAAATAACGCCAATAGGAAAAGGTAGAAGTAGTAGTAGTAGTATACATATGTTATAGTCTGGAGAATAATGTCCTTTGGCTGACTCTTCTCTGCAGCTCCTAAACTATCAGATATCTAACCACATATTGCTTTATATATATGACACTAGTCCATATTGCGATGTATCCTCAATACATTAACCTAACAGTCAAATGAAGGATAAAGTCGTAGTGAGATGTGACCTTTGTCCCAGTTGGAGCTAACAGCTAACAGCAGGAGCCATGTTAGATATTCAGTACCTGTGATATGTTCAGACACTTACCCGACAGTCCGCTCCTGCTCCTTAATGCAGCTCTTAAAGCCATGTTGTTTTATTTTATGGTTAAAATAAATATGAAGCTTCTTAAACTTCCTCCAGTCTGCAGCTCCGAGGCTCTTCTTCTTCTTCTGATGAGTGTTTTGCAGCAGCTGGAGAGAGCATTAGTGCCCCCTGCTGCTGCGGAGGACAGAGGACATGCTGGCCCTTAAAACTGTACTATAATAATAAATACAAATAAATAATATAATTAAATAATTTAAAAAAGTGTTATATCAATAAATAAAAAATATATAATAATAATGCTAATTGAACCCTAATGTTTTTTTTCAAAAACAAATGTAAATCTTTAATACTAATACATAGAATTAATACTAATACTAATATGAATACAACATTATGATCTAATAACAATTGTAACCCAAAGGTTTTGAAGTAAAAAACGAACGTTCAATTATAATGAACATACACATAATAATATACAATTAATTATGCAAAAATAATAATAAAAACTTGACCTTATGTTTGCAAAAAAAAAGAAAAGTATAATTTTAATAAAAAAAATATATAAATGAGAATAATAATACAAATTCTGTTAATATTAACTACTAACCCTAACCCTAACCCACTAAAGTAAATAAATGATAAATTTAAAGGTAGGGTAGGTAAGTTTGAGAAACCGGCTCGAGATACACTTTTTGTTATATTCCATGGAATGCTCTTAACATCCCGATAGCAATGAATATCTGAAGTGCTTTGACAAAAAATACATAAAAAAATTTCATCTGTGGAAGCTGTAATACTGTAAAAAGCACGACCAGTCATTTTAGCCGGCCCAGCTAAAATAACTGGATGGCCTACCTGCCTGTCAGCCTTCCATCTGTGCACAAACTTATCTCGTGCCCTCATTGGTCATGTGCGCGTTCGTGTGTTGGAGGAGGGGCTCTGTAAGGAAGTGGGAGATTTTCTCCGGTTGTGTATTTTCAAATTCTAGCGCACTCGAGCTGGTTTCTCCAAAATGACCTACCCCACCTTTAAGTATATTAATATAATAGTGTTTAGTCCTTGTTCCCTAATGGAAAAGCTACTGAACTGCCTGATTGAAATACACTGAGGGAAACAGCCATGATGGCTTTACTGTTAATTGAGCCGTAGTTTTAAATCGTCCCACTATAAACTGTGTGTTAGTTTACCTTTAAGAACGCAGCAGTGTTCACCGCTTGTCAGGTGACGACAACAAACAATCCAGCTCACCTGTCTCTTCAGTAAACACCTGTCCTCTGTACATTAGCAGTGTTTTATTTTACTGCAGGGCCAACGTTAGCCGGAGTTTAAGATCTGTACAGTGTTTAAACATGTTATGAGCTCTGCTGCTCCTCTAAGATATACTTTATTGATCTCAATTTGGGAAATATAGTTGTTACAGCCGACTTTAGTTTAGCTAGCCGATGGGAGCCTGGATGTAGCGCAGTGTCTCGGCCTTAGATGGAGACCAGCCTCGCCTGATCTTCGCTGTCCACTCACTGTGGGAAGGGTCCTCAAGAGTCCTCTCCACTTTCAGAGGAAGGGTCAGAGGAACTCACGTCAGACTCCAGAGAGCATTCAGTCCTGCAGCTCGCTGGCAGATTAAAGCTGCACGGCCATTTCTAAAGTCTCTTCTGCACTGAAATGCTTCTTCATTTGAGATCCTTCTCTTTGCTCCAGGTCTTTCTCCTTCTCTGCTCACTAATGAAATAAGCCCTCTGTCAAACTGCATGTTTACCTTTGGTGCACAACTGTTAGTGTGCATAAACAAACTAAAGGTTGTTTATTTTGTATTGGAGTAATCAAGCAAAGACACATGAAACGCATCCCTCAAAAGTTGCCCTTTATTTAACCCTGAAATGATCAGTGCATAAGTTACAGATACACACACACAGATACACAGATACACAGATATACACACACCCCTCTTGGGCCCCTGGTAGTCACAGGGCTCCATAATATAACTGGCAAAAACACAAGCATGTCATGCATCAGCCTATAATGGGAAAATGGTTGAATCTGGTGAAATACAGCAAACATTTCACTACTTTTCTACTAAATGAAATACAGACTTTACAGAATGCACGGTGTTGTACTGCAATAGCAGTTAGAAGAAAAACAATGGGTTTTAATGGAAGTCAATGAGGCATGTTTGGCCTTGAAGGAGTCCAGAGGGAGTATCTGACACTACATACAAAATACTAATGCAATCAAATCAATTGTGTTCCTAATCTCTGACATATTCAAGACTCTAATGAATATCAAAGCCCCCTACGAATTAATTAATTATTATATGGGAAATAATTAATGTGTTGTGATGAATAATGAAATAATTCAAATAGTTAACAGGTGTTTAAAGGGTTAAAATCCTGAAAATGATTGAATGTTTGTTAGTTTTGAGGAAGTTTTAAGTTTTTAAGTGATTTATGAAAAAAAGCAGAATAAAATATTGATGAATGATTATGATAATATGATTTAAAAACATGTAAGAGTACAAGACATTGGATTTAAAAAAATTGAGAAAAATATGCAAAAAGGCCTAAGGGAGGCATAATCGTTAATCTGCTTGTAAAGTGTAAATAAGGATTTATAGAATATGATTTTATGACTTTAAAATGACAGTGGATGCATTTATCAGAGCTGCAATATTTAAATGTTACTATCACGTTAAGCTCTTGTGATTAATTCTGCAGAAAACATTACATCATACATTTTGAGGAAAAATGACTGAAATAATCAATCTGTTTAAATTCAGCGTCGTCATGCTAATTCACCAGAAAAACACTGTTATATTTACTGGTTTCAAATGTATTTTCTCTGTGAATTATAACAGTTTAAAGTGTAAAATGTACATGTTCGCTGTATTTCTTTTTAACAGTGTTTCAGCAGTTCAGGTTTTCTTTGTTGTTTTGGAATACGCTCTGATCAGATGTTCACTGCAAAATGCATCTTTCCTTTGGGACCTTTCTCCTCGTGGACCTGGAAGATAAACAGGAAAACACTTTTATGAAATCACCAACAATCACTTCATACAGAGGTCTCATACATGTAGTGACTCTGCTACTGATAACATCTGCTCTGTGAATCACTTCCTGATATTTATATTCCTCAACGTTCCCAGAGCTGGACTTTTGAATACAAGTATTAATATTTATATACTTATACAATATATGTACTTAATATGTAACAGTTCCTCAGGAATCGCCTAAACCACTAGACCTATGTTTTATATCTTGTTGAATCATCCAAAATGTTTCAGATACATTTGAATGTATTCTGAGGGGTTGAGACTGGAAAAGGTTGAGAACCACTGCTGTATAGCATCTTACACGTAGAGGCCCCCTCCTCGTTATCAGGTACATCCTTCCCATCAGTCATATCCTCCGCCAACATGGCATCGATTTCCCCTGCTACATCACAGCCACCACCCACTCCACCCTCTCCGCCTGCCTTACAGATCATAAACTATGGATGCAAAAGAAACTTCCTCCAACTCAATAAATCACAAATATGAATGTGCCTGGATTCCCTCACCTGCTCTGCCCACTGATTCTCACTCACCATTGACAGCTCAAAGTCGACCCCTCCACCCAGATCTGAAACCTCTGTGTCAACTCACCTGATCACCAAACTGCCTTTTTCCAACTCAAGAACATCGCCCTCCTCCGACCTTCCCTCTGTTTTTCTGCTGCTGAAACCCTCACCCTCGCCCTCATCACCTCCAGACTCGAGTACTGTAATAGCATCCTCTCCGGTTCTACGTCCAGAACTCCCCCGCCCGCCTGCTCACCTCCACCCACCGCCGAGACCACGTCACTCCGGTCCTCCACCCATGTCATAATTCCGCCAATCTGAATGACTGTGTTTGTTAAATGTGACTTTTGTAAAGCGTCTTTGTGTGTCTTGAAAAGCGCTATATAAATTAAATGTATTATTATTATTATTATTATTATTATTATTATTATATTAAATACAAATACATATTTTTAAAGAAGTGTTTGGTCCTGTTATAGGATTACCTGTCTGAAGATTCAGGTGTGTTTTCAGATGGGAAGGAAACTGGAGCCTGGAATTATGAAAGGTACAAAGTGAGTTATTGTAAAACAAAATCCAGTTCATTTTGAGACAAAAATCTAAAATTCAAATGAGTCTAGATCCTGTCAGCTCATCGTTGATTTCCAACGGGTAAGTAACCGGTTAACATGTCACGTAGTGCTGAGCCATGTCCACTACTGTAGATCACAAAACAGTAGCCAATCACAGCACAGTATTACAAGCCAATAGGGCTGTGCAATTAATCGTATTTTAATCGCAATTACGATTTTGGCCTGCCACAATTACAAAAACAACATGATCGAAAGATTATTTTGCTTTGCTAGGTTGTGACGGTGCACTACAACATATTTGATCTAATTCATTCTAGTCTAATTTATTTTTATTTATCATATTTATATATGTTTAGTAGCTTGTGGAAGTGCGCTCCAAAATATTTGTTGATCTTGTTTATTGGTATTTATTATTTTGATATTATTTATTTAAAGGTAAGTTTGAGAAACCGGCTCGAGATCGCTAGAATTTGAAAATACACAACCGGAGAAAATCTGCCACTTCCTTACAGAGCCCCTCCTCCAACACACACGAACGCGCACATGACCAATGAGGGCACGAGATAAGTTTGTGCACCGATGGAAGGCTGACAGGCAGGTAGGCCATCCAGTTATTTTAGCCGGGCCGGCTCAGATGATTGGTCGTACTTTTTACAGTACTACAGCTTCCACAGATGACATTTTTTTATGAATTTTTTGTCAAAGCACTTCAGATATTCATTGCTATCGGGATGTTAAGAGCATTCCATGGAATATAACAAAAAGTGTATCTCGAGCCGGTTTCTCAAACTTACCTACCCCACCTTTAAATGTATCATTTATTTAATTTATTTTTGTATTGGTTTTTCAGTTGAATTATATGTTTAGGGTAATCAACAGTTAAAAATATACTGTTCAAATTATTATTTGTTTTAAAGTTCAATAAATGGATGTTTTCAAAGTCAATGAATAATCTAATTTAATAATCGTGATATCAATTATTGACCAAAATAATCGTGATTATGATTTTTGCCATAATCGAG